TCCTTGCAGGCATCAGAATTTGGGCTGTGTTTTCTCATTGGCAAAAGAAAGGATGGGGAAAACTGGAACATTCCTATTGCTTGCAGAAGTCTTATGTTGAGAAGATCAACTTGGAAACATTGACATTTCCACTTGAATTGAAATGAATTACATATTTTATGCCATTATAAGTTTATAGTTTAAAGCTAAAAACAAATAAAAATAACATTGTTTAGATGCTAATTAAGGGCAGTTATTTTATTTAGAAAAGATTTATTCCCTTCCCAATGAGATCATCTTAGGCCTCCTAGCTGGGGTGCTTAAAGATTTTAAAATGTAACCAGATGGATGCCTACTTTTCAAAAAACATGCATTTTGTGAAGTGAAGAATGCAGGTTGCTATTTCATTTCCTCCCAAGACAAAAGGGAAACCAAATTGTTTTCAAGCTTATGAAGAACTTATTTTTAAGGTAAAGCATGTGTCCTTTCACCCTGGTGAGTTGACAAGAATGCTCTCTTTGCAAGGAATTAACTTTCCAGGCTGACAGATCAGCAAGAATGCGGTCCCAGAATTGTCCCATTATGTGACATCCCTAAAGGGAGAAGGGGGTGCTTTCAAGAGAAAGACAAAAAAACAATCACAGAACTCAAACCGTCTAAAGAACCGACAGTCAGGAGACCACCAAACTAGACCAATTGAGAAAGAGACTCATCTGGGGCAGAAATACAGAGTCGCTTTTGCTTGGAGAAGCTTGTAAAAACACTGGTGATAACTACGCCTTAATTAGGTGGCAAATCAACCTTACTGCAATGTCTGAGTTACGCAACATTCTTAAAATAATTGTGAATCTTTTTGGTAGGTTGTACCTGATAGATGAAAAAAAATTACATGAATTTAAAGTACCCAATATTTGCATTGTTTTGTATACAGTTGCACTTAGTACTGGTTCATATTCTACTCTGTTCACTGGACATGATTTTGTATCCATACTTGCTTATAGCTACATGGTCGTACACTCCTGTTCTTTTAGGAGATACATAGTTTATAGAACTTTTAAAAAATTTATTTAGGGAAAGGAGTTTTATGACTTTCAAATGCGTATGCGTAAGTGCTGACAGGACGAGGGGAAGTGGGAAAGTGCCAGTTGCCTATGCATTTAAGAGAATCCTGTAAGGGCTTTCACAAACAGATAAGATGTGCTTTGAATGAGCTCATCCATCCTTTGAATAAAAACTGCTGGGAAGGTGGTGTTTAAGCAGTTTGTGGTCTTTGATGCAAATGGGGTTGACATTCCCGTTGCTTACCACATTGTTCAAGCTCCCTTTCAAAGTCTGTACCCAAACCTCAGCCCCGGGAGTTCAAAGGCCTATGCAGAGCGGCTGGTCTGCAGCCCCGTCTGCCTGTTAGAACCTCCTGGTAGGAATTCCCGGCACCCAGTCCTCTCTCTGATAGACCCCTTCCAAGAAGGGGTCTGGACGTTGGTATTTTTTTTTTTTTTCAAAGCTCCCCAAGTGATTAGAATGTGTGGCCAGTGCCAAGAATTGCTGGTCCGGGGAATATATCCACAATGCCATTTTCTAGATGCTTTGATTTCTATAATCGAGTAGATGTAGGTCACCGGAAAGCACAAGGTTTATCTTGATTCCTTGTGTAGCAAACTTGTCAACATATCCCATCCGCTATAGTGCAAACAGGCCTGCCTGAAACGCAGATGTTAGATGGAAAGATGGGTTTGACAATTGTGTATTAAGCTTGTATTATATGCTCTGTTTTAGGCAATATGGATGATTTAAAAATGAGTAGGACATCCTTTCCCCCGTTTTCATAGTATAATCGGAAAGACAAAAAATGTGAAAGGAATGACAATACTTAGTATGGTCAGCTCCGCTTTGATTCACAAGGTCTGTTTGGTGTTTCTTCCAGTGGGGAGGCCTGGAGGAGGACGGGACTCATGAGTGGCTCCTGCCGTTGGGGATCAGGGCGCAGGCTGAGGTGTGGAAGGAGCAGGAGGGGAAGCCGAACCTGAGGGGGCACAGGGAGACCAGGCAGTGGGAGAGAGCGTGGGGAGACCCGGGAGGCAAGCAGTCCTGGGGTCCCAGCTCTATTTGCAGGGAGCAAAGGGTTAGAGGGCCACATAACTCAGGTCCTACATTTTGTGGTAGTCACGCGAAAGGGGCCTCATGAGAGACCTGTTGCCTCCAGAAAACGTGGGAGTGTGTTGATGTAAAAATCCAAGAATGAAAAATGCTCTCTTTTGATAGAAGCCCAGAGAGGTAAAGACGTCTAAATCCATCCCTGTCTGGCCTAAGTTTTCTTAGAATTGTTCATTCTCCCAGCACGGCCTCTGGGAAGGCTGGGGAAAGGCTCTGTGTTTTCCCCCACCGCCACATTCAATAATGGTTAAGGACTTAATTATCTTTTTATGAGTCCGACAGTCCTGGTTTCTGTTGCTCAGACACAAAGACATCATCTGTCTTGGGCAGACATTCGGCTGTTGAATAGTGATGAAGGAAAGGAGGCAGCCAGGGCTGAGGGGTGTGGGGGTGGTTGGGGTGTGGGGGGGGTGCAGGAGGCCAGCAGACGGGAAAGTGTGCCCTGGAGACACCTAGTCCTAGAGGGGCTGACCTGCGAGTGAATGAGATAAGGCACACAAGTGGGCCCCACACTATGCTCGGCCCCTGGTCTGTACAGAGTAACTACCCAAGAACTCTTAAACGATCAATTAAGAAACAGCAAGCCCAATGCAGTAGGAATCCTGTTTTTGTTTTTGTTTTTTGTCATTTTAAGCTATCCTTTCCCTTCATTTCTTAAAATATTATCATGCAATATGACAAAGATGAGTGTAGGATATTAACCCTAAGCTTTTACAAGAATCTCAGCATTAGGCCATATTTGCAGCACTTTTTTTTTTTTTTTTTTTTTTTTTTTTAAAGGAGTAAGACTTAAATACAAATGTACCTACAAAAATCTTTGCTGGTTATGGTTTTACGTGTGGACACAAGTGGTGTTTTTTTATATACATTGTGTGGCAACTTCCTTTTCTTTTACTCAACATTCTCATATGAGATTTATTCATATTTTATTCCCTTTGATTCCCTGTTTAAGTGTATCATGTTCCATGAACATACTGCAACTCGTTTATCCATTCCCATTAACAGACATTTGGGTGATTTTTAAATGTCTACTTTCCAAGTGATGCGATGGTGAATACTTCTGTTTGTGATTCCCTGTGCAGATGTGAGGGAGTCTCTAGGGCAGATGCCCACCAGGGACAGTCTTGGGTCATTGGATACAAGTGTTTCCAAGTTTATATGATCGAATTGCTCTTAAAAGTGGTGGCACCAATTGAAATGTCCACCAGCAGTCTAGAAGAGCTCCCAGTTGCTTCAACTACTGTTTTCCACTCAGTGGTGTCTCTGACTGTGCTGTGAGTTTAGTGGTTGAGGGGTTAAGATGTGGGCAGTCAGTAGGGGGTCTTGGGATAATAAAAATTTTCTTAATTGGATTGTGGTGATAGTTGCACAACTCTATAAATTTACTTGGATGATCAGTGAACTGTATGTTTAAAACTGGTGCCCAGGGCACCTGGGTGGTTCAGTCTGTTGAGTTTCTGACTCTTGGTTTTGGCTCAGGTCATGATCTTGGGGTCCTGAGATTGAACCCCGAGGTGCTGGGCTCCATACTCAGTGTGGAGTCAACTTGTCCCTCTCCCTCTGCCCCTTCTACCGCCCTACCCATCTTCCTACCCATCTTCTTCTTTTACCCAAATGAAATCAAATATCCCACTGGAAAAGGCTAGACAGATTGATGCAGAAAATGTTATTCACGATTGATAGTTTTGTTTTGTTTTGTTTTGTTTTTGCATTTTAAACAGAATCGTGGAAAAATAATTGGAGTTATGGAGTTTGGAAAGTTATTAGATAGTCTGCCCAGGCTGCCATGATAAAAGACCATAGATTGGGGGGCTCCAACTGCAGAAATGTATTTATTTATTTCTTCATGGTTCTTGAGGCTAAAAGCCCAAGAGTAAGGTGCAGGCATGGTTTCTGGTGAGACCTCTCTCTGTGGCTTGCAGATGGCTGACTTCTTCTCGTGTCTTCACTTGACTTTTTCCGTGTGTACCTGCCCTCCTAGGGTCTCTTCTTCTTCATATAGGAGAACAGTCCCATTGGATTAGGGATCCACCTTTATGATTTTATTCAACCTTATTTACCTTCTTAAAGGCTCTGTTTCTAAACACAGTTATGCTGGGAGTTAGGGTTTCAAGGTATGAATTTTGGGAGAACAAAACTCAGTCCACAACAAGATTTTACAAATAGGTCATTTGACCTTATCACTTGCAGATTTAGAAGATGCTGATGAAAAAATCTATAGATTGGGGCGCCTAGGTGCCTCAGTCATTAAGCATCTGCCTTCTGCTCAGGTCATGAGCCCAGGGTCCTGGGATTGAGCCCCACATTGAGCCCCGTATTGGGCTCCCAGCTGAGCAGGAAGCCTGCTTCTCTCTCTCCCAACTCCCCCTGTTTGTGTTCCCTCTCTTGCTGTCTATCTCTCTGTCACATAAATAAATAAAATATTGTTAAAAAAATACAAAATCTATAGACCTTTCAAGAAACCATGACCATTTTACTCATTTAAACTAATTTTGGAAAAAGCAAAGTCAATTTAGCAGTAGAAAGACTTCACCAGAATATTTTTTTTTCCAGTTATTATTGCTATGTAACAATTTACCCCAAACACTGTGGTTTAAAACAGTTCATTATGCTCTTGGATTCTCTAGTCAAGAATTTGGGGGGCACCTGGATGAGTGGCTTGGGCTCTGGATCTAATGTGCTGTGGTTAGGTATGGCAGAAGCTGAGGCTGGGCAGCTGATGGGGTGGCTCTCTCTTCTGTGTGGAACAGTGGCTTCAGGGTAGTGAGGGCGCTGCTCTCCAAAGGCTCAGGTCGTAAAGAATCAGGTAGAATATGAATTGCCTTCTAGGACCTAACCCAAAGTCACGTGACCTCTCTTCTCCACAGAGATTCAAGGGCAGGGAATACAGACCCCACCTCTCAAAGGGAGGAGTGTCAACATCGCTTTGTAAGTAGAGAATGTATGATGGGAAATATTATTCTGGCCATCTTTGGAAAAGGCAATTGGCTGTAATTTTAGAAAGATTTATTGATTCATTTATTTTTTAAAAAGATTTTATTTATTTATTTGACAGACAGATATCACAGTAGGTGGAGAGATAGGCAGAGAGAAAGAGGAGGAAGCAGGCTCCCTGCTGAGCAGAGAGCCCGATGTGGGGCTCGATCCCAGGACTCTGGGATCATGACCTGAGCCGAAGGCAGAGGCTTTAACCCACTGAGCCACCCAGGCGCCCCAGAAAGATTTATTTTTATAATGATTCTAAGTACACACTGAAGAAAAATTTGCACAGGAAAGGTATCTTGTTTTCCTTGGGGAATCTTTTTCATTTGCATCCAAGCAGGGATAGGACAGCTTGGGATTCAGGCCGTTGTCCTTGTCAACTCCTTCAATTTTTATGAGTTAGTTCCATGTCTGGTTCAGTTAACTATCTCTTAGGATGTCATATTTCTTTTACCAAGCCACAGAGAATATCCCTTCTTTAGATAGTGGCTGTGGGGCTTAAACGCTACTCATGGTTACCCCATGTTTACTGTTATGGGCTGAATTATGTCTCCCTAAAAATCATATTTGAAGTCCTAATTCCCAGTACTTCAGAATGCGACTATATTTGGAGATAAAATCTTTAGAAAGATAATTAAATTAAAATGAGGTCCTTAGGGTGGGTCTTAATTCAATATGACTGGAGTCCTTATAAAAGAGGGTTTGGACCCAGACACATGCACAAGGAATACCATGTGAGGATATACAGAGAACACAGCCCCCTATAAACAAGGGAAAGATGGCTCAGAAGAAGCCAAACCTGCTGATACCTTGATTTTGGGGTTCTAGCTTCCAGAACGGTGAGAAGAAAAAAAAAAAACCAAAAAAACCCCAGCAACCATAAATAACAAAAACCTGTTGTTAAGCTACCCAGTCTCTGGAATTGGTACTTTGTTAAAGCAGCTCTAGCCAACTAATTCACTTATCAAAGGTTTGACAGGGGGCGTATGTGTGGCTCAGTGCGTTGGGCCTCTGCCTTTGGCTCGGGTCATGATCTCAGGGTCCTGGGATGGAGCCCTGAGTCGGGCTCTCTGCTCAGCAGGGAGCCTGCTTCCCCCTCTCTCTCTGCCTGCCTCTCTGCCTACTTGTGCTCTCTGTCAAATAAATACGTAAAAAATCTTTAAAAAACAAAGTTTGACAGTATGAAATGTGTATGATGGGTATCTTTGAAGGGTCTCTTTCTCTGGGCCATGTTTTCAAACTTATTTTTTAAAGCAGCAGATACTTTTTTTTTTTTTTTTACATAAGTAGATAATATATTAAGTCCTCAATCTATAAAATGTACAAATAGTGTTTTATTGGTACAAAATTTTCTTAGAAGTTTGAAATATTGCCTTATAATAAAGGTTCTCAGTAGAAACAAGGAAGTGGCTGTGAGGACACCAGGACTCAGAAACCTAGGGTCTTTGGGCCAAAGATGGCTGCCAACTCAACTTGCTGTCTTGTTCACCTAAGAGAGTCTCTCCTTACTACCTCACACTCTTACTCTTGCTCACAAACGTCAACATTTTGTATTAGAACAGCACTTCAACCTTCCCTCAGGCCAGAAAAATGCAGGCAGACACTTAGCCTGCAAGTCTTCGAAGCCTGATGGTCTTTCCACCAAACTACTTATATAGTCTATACCAAAGGCCTAGAGGAAGCCCCATTAAGACTGAGCAAAGCTGCGCAGTAGCAAAGCAGAGAGATCTGACACATCTGCTGACTGTTCACGGCCCAGGGAGACATCTGTGGGCTTTGGAGCCTGATGACCCAGCTGTGCATCGCAACTTGACCATTAGTAGCCATGGGACATGTCAGACGTGTCACCTCTCTGAGTCTCAGTTTCCTCATCCGCAACAAAGGGAATCTGAACACCTGCTTTGTGGGTTCTTGTGCAGATTCAATGAAGGAAAATGTGTGTCTACTCAGTGCAGTGCTTTGCATATGGTTCATTAAATATTCATTGTCTTTACCCGCGGGAGAGCGACTGTGGGCTCAGATGAGATCATGGAGACGGACGTAATCTGTGAAGACTCATCTCTGTGCCAGTTGGAATCATGATGTGGTTTGACATTGACTCATTCCTGTCTGGATGGGTCTGGAGTAGACATAGTCTAAGTATCTCTCGGGTGAGAGAAACGGGGTAAGAACTGGCAGAGGGGAATATGGGGGTGCTGGCAGCGGCCACTCGTGCAGGCTCCAAGAGCTAATGGGCAAAGTGAGTTTTGAAAATGTTTCTGCAAGGCTGTGTGAACTCTTTTCAGTCATCAAATGACCAAATTTATGAAGGATTCTGAAATAGAATGGAAGCTCAAGAGTTCGTGCTGTATCCCAAGAGGATTTATGTCCGAATCGGACCAGATAATTTCCCAGGTCGTTAAATTGACCACTGGGACATGGACATATTAAATATTATCAAATAAAGTTGGACTATAGTTAAGAGTCAGTTTTATGGATTGGCCACATTAAAAAAATTTTTTTTTGTATTGGAAATTGTGTTTAAATCTGCAATGAATATAGTCGTTGTGATGTAAAGAACAGATGGGTCTGAACGTGGTGGTTTTCCTTGAGCAATCCTGAACTAGCATCATAGATATCGAAGATGGCACGTGCTGATGTTACCCTCTGCCAAGAAAGACAGCTGTATCCTCAGGAGCTTTCCATCCCACCTGGGGACCCCCTCCGCTGTGGGTTGGGCTCCAGTAAGTTCATCTTTGCCTTTCCTCTTGCTGTTCCTCCCAGTGATGTTCCTTCTGGAGTTGGGTTGGTCTTCATGATACATCCCACAACCCAAGTCTGTGACATCATGCTTTTCTTTATAAGCACAAAGTTTTCGCCTCGATTTCACAGTTCATTCTTGCTCTGCCTTCTGAAAAGATTCGTCTTCTCCTGTTAGTTGGCCCTTAGCTAGTCCCCATCTCTGGGGGATAGTATATGGACAGGAATGAGCTAGTAGAATCAACAGTTGCCTTAAGTAGCTAACTGCTTCTTTCCAAAGAAGCCCCATTTATGGGGCTTTGTAGATTTTTTAATTCTTTAGTTTTCTCTTATCATGAAACTCCCCCGAGAGAGCTGATCACCACACCAACTAATAATGTCGTAGCCAGCCTCTGCTACAGTCGTGGACCAGCAAGGGAGAACCAGCTGCCAGAGGGAACTGGATTGCAATGGGTCTTCTTTAAGGAAAAGGGTAATCCTATGGGTGTCAGAAAGATTCCAAAACATCCTCAGTTTTTCCTAAGGTTCCAGACTGAATCAGAGAGAAGGATTCATAAGTGCTGCTTCTTCTTCCTCCTCTCCTCCTCCTCCTCTTCCTCCTCCTCTTCTTCCTCCTCCTCCTCCTATTTATTCAAGAGAGGGGCACCTGGGTGGCTCAGTTGGTTAAGTGGCTGCCTTCAGCTCAGGTCATGATCCCAGCGTCCTGGGATTGAGCCCTGCATCAGGCTTCCTGCTTGGTGGAGAACTTGCTTCTGCCTCTCTCTCTGCCTGCTGCTCTGCCTACTTGAGCTCTCTATCTCTCTGTTAAGTAAATAAATAAAATCTTAAAAAAAAAAGATTTTATTTATTTGAGAGAAAGAGAGCATGAGGTGCAGAAGGGACAGAGGGACAAGCTCTGGGCTGGATCCTAGGACCCTAAGATCATGACCTGAGCCGAACGCAGATGCTTAACTGACTGGGCCATCCAGGTGCCCCTCTGCCCACAAGTGCTTTCTTTTGTTTTAAAGGGCAAATTGGTTCTAATTGGCTCAGTGTGAGAATTAAGAGGGGTGAGGTCATGTCTGTTGATTGCCATTTTGGGTGGAGTGTGTGTGTGTGTGTGTCTGTTTGTCTATCTGTCTTCTGTGTGTCTGTGCATTTCCCACAATAAGTGATGGCAGTTGACATTAGTGATCTGAGGGAGGAGATGCCGGTACGGATGGGAAGCTGTGAATCAGCCTGGTGCTTGTGATGGTGGAGATGTGAGAAACGGATCCCTGCTCTCTAGAAAACTTTCACCTAATGGAGGATCCAAGATGTTGAGGGAGAAATGCGACTTTGCAATAGAAGGCCATGTGTGTTTCGAGCCAAGAGTTCAGAGGAGTCTGGACAGGTCAGGGGAGGCTTCCTAGAGGAGGTGGCCCTTGAAATTGGCCTTGAGGGATGGGGAAGATTCTGAGGGCAGAGTATTCCAGATAAGGGAAAGCAGGGGTTTCCAAATTCTGTCTGGAGGGCAGGAAGGGAGCAGTTTGCTGGCACCCGTGGGTTTGTCAGGGAGGAGAGGCCAGGAGAGATAAAGAAATTTCTTGAGGTAGTTTGTGGGGAGAGTTTGGTGCATGGAAGGGACCTGTGAATGTGCAGGTTTGGAATTCAGGAGGCAGGAGGTAGAAGAGGTGCCCTGGGGTCACCAGGAGAAGGCAGCATGGCCTTGCGTGAGGGCTAGCCCTTTGAGTGAGCTGTAGTTCTGACGCGGGGCGGCAGGGGGTGGGGCAGGAGGAATTGGGCTCAGTGGGTTGGGGAGAGGGATGGCGGGCTATGGTGGGAGGGACTTCCTGACTGTGGTGGGAGAGACTTCATGGAGCTGTGGGACCAGCTGCTGTGCTCTGAAACCTTGGGGATTAACACCAACATGGAGAGAAGCACCAGAGGGACAGGCAGATTCAGAGAATCTCATGGGTCAGCTTCTTCTTATCCTCTTCCTTTTCTTTTTCCTCCTCCTTTTAAATATAATTCCTTTCAGATTTTTTTCTATTTTCTTTATAATAATTTCCACCTTAAACAAAAGTTGCATGAATAATACGAAGAACTTTTTTCTTCTGAACCTTCTGAGAGCAAGTTGCCAACCTGATGTCCTGTTACTTCAAAACACTCTAGTGTGTAATTTCCACAAACAAGACCATTCTCCCATGTCCTATGATAAACCACCCAAATCAGGAAGTTGATTTTTTGGTATTATTACTAATATAGGATCCTCAGACCTTTTCCAGATTTTCCCATTTGTCCCAACAATGTCCTTTATAGCAACAGGACCCAGTTCAGAACCACACATTGTATGGATTTACTGTGTCTCGTTAGGGAGGAAGAAATGAAGGGGACCAGGGAGGAGACTAGAAGGAAGTTTGAGATTTCACAAACACTCAGCCCTGGCAGGAAGTAGCAGCAGGCCCTGTTCAATACTTTGTTCCCTTCACAAGCCAGTCAATGTTCAGTTATTTGCCCAAATGAGGGATAGCATGGACACATTTAGAATAATTTTAGATTTTTGAATGCATTCGCAACCGTCTTGTAGATTTTTTTTTCTTTCTGGTTTCATGTGACTCACACAAGCATATCCGCAGATCAGAGACGTGCGGGGAGAAGTAGACACCGGTTGCTGTGATCTGTTAATATGCCCCAGACTGAGTAGAAAACCGAGATTCTTTTATATCGTCGTTATTCCTAGAGTGGATCGGCTGGACCTAAGCACAGCCCTTAAGGCACAGACCCTGCTCCAAGCGTGGCCGGAGTGGATGCATTTGTCGGGATTGGCAGGTGTTGCTTTAGTTCTGTCTTGCAGTCCAGAGACTCAGGCTTGCCATAATTGTCTATTTCGTGCAGCTTTCATCTTTCATTTGGCAAAATGATTCATGTGGAGTGTAATGTGCGTCTCTGATTACTTACCCAGAAATTTGTCTTCCTCTGATAAGATTGCTTCTTCCCTGCACAAATATGGGAATTTTCAGATAAGGTGCTAAAGCGACCTTTTCATCTCCTTTCATTCCTCCCTTCACTTCCTCATCCAGCTTGCCTTTCGTGAGCATCTACTATTGCCATCTCTAGGGGCACATACCCCAGTAAGAATAACTCTGCTCTCAAGGGGAGAAGAGCTTATGTGAAAATGACCTTCATGGCCGAGACTGACAGATGCCAAGGTCAGGCCCAGGAGTAGCACAGTGGGAGGTTTTGATGGTGGGGAAAATTGTAGCAGGGGCTGCCCCGTGGGGGAGCAGGACATGGATGTGAAGTCCGTGAAGTCTGAAAGGCTGGTTCACTGCTTACTCACAGCCGGACGTATAAATTCCTTCAGGGTATTTTGTTGGCATTCGCCACTCGTGTTAGTTCTCCAGTGTTAGGTGGGACAGGTCAGGTAATACTTAGAAGCATAGAACTCAGGACGTCCTAGCTTCTCAGGGTGTTCCCAGCCCTTCACGAGGAATTGATCATCTTCCTTTATAGACAAGGAGCCGAAACCCCAGGAAATGGGATTCTTCCATCCAGGCACCCTACTGAACTGAGAGTAGAGCTCCGTCCTCCCTCCCTCCAACTGAGTGCTCCTTCCACCATCCCCATGCCCTACACAAAACCTGGGCCTGTGTGGCTCAGAAATTCAGTCAGGGACTGTGGCTTATGAACAGGAGAAGTGCTGAGATGACTCTAGATGGTACCCCTCTGTCATTCATTACCATTGACGCATGAAGACAGAAACCACTGAGCAGTCAAGCCCCACAATGGTTCCTTTTAGACCTGTGCGTAGGGCCCAAAGGGAGAGGCCAGCACTGTATGGTTTAGGGAGAGAGGGTGCAGAGCGGGATTGAGGCCAGTGGCTGGACACATATG